CAGGATGTAATGCCAAGTCTGTCTGATTTTATAATCTGAGCTCTTCACCCTTCTGCTCTAACTAGCTGGTCAACCAAAGCTTCCCATACAGCACCTCACACTTCTTGCAGATTCCAACTACCAGAGGTATTCCTTATTCATTTCGCCTCCACAATGACATTAAAATTCTTATCGTGTGTGTCTCTGTGTGTGGTATGTAATCAGCACTTAAATGTTTACTATGGGCTAGGCACTCTTTTAAGAACTTTAATATATATTAACTCATTTAATTGTCACAAAACCAGAGTGAAGTTAATACTATTTTATTGCCATTTTTACAGATGGGGATTTTGTATCTGGAGGTGAGATTGGATTCAGGCAGCCTGACTTCTGTGTTCATACTCTTTACTACTAGCTGATCTCTACCAAGTTTTTATGAGGAATTCTGTTTGAGTTAGAGTTATTCTAAAGGTGTGAAATAAGTTAAATGTTAACCAATAACCTTAATGCTCCCAGATGGTATTTGTATTTTAAAAGAACAACCTTCTTAATCCAGTAGAGAAACTTTTTAAAAGTAAGGGCCTAAGGTAAGAGAAAAGCACTAGCAGTTTGGCCTCTTACTGGAAAAACACACCTATAGTGCTGTAATTTTAAACCGCTTGGTTTTAATTTGGGGGTTAATGTGCATATTTTATTTCTTGGATCGTAAATCAGACCAGCATTTTTATAAACCAGCCAGCTTTTTAAACTCAGTTCTTACTATCCAGTTTCCAGATCCGGTTTCAGCCAGTCTGAACTTCTTGTCATTTCATAAACATCTCACCTTCTTTCATATTCCCATGCCTTTGGACGTACTGGTTTATTCTGCCTGGAATGCCCATCATAATGATGATTATCATAATTTTAATTTTTATACAGGGCATTGACTCAGTCAGATCTAGAGAGTTTTTGGTTGTAGATTTAGTGATCATCCCCACCTGTGTCTTTCAATTCACTTGGGTTGTGGTATCTTACTTCTTTGGCCTCCTCCCTTTTCTTGTCATTCAAATCCCTGCTTTACCTAAGAAACAACTTTAATATCATCTTTGTAAAAGATACCCCCAAACAGTCACCCTTTCTTCGTTGCCTTTTTTTTTTTTTAGAAGAGCACTGACAAATTTTGCATATTGTAAAACCAAATTTTGTGGTTGGTTAACTGATTTATCTACCCTACTAAACATAGGACCATCTTCAAGGAGAGAAACCTAGACTTAGATTTTTTGTTTTCCCCTTCCCCATCATTCATGAGTGCTCAGTAAATATTGAAGGACTGTGAGTCTTCTTAAAACTTTATCCCACTTTCTAGCCAACAGCTAACTATATCTGGGACAAATAATAAATTTGAAAGGGAGCTGGAAGTTTGGGGAAAAGGCAGCGGGAGATGGGAAATGCCTACGTCTACCACAGAATCTTAGAAGTCTAGCCCTGCCCTGCCAGTATGGTAGCTGGTAGCACTAGCCACATGTGGCTTTTTTTTTTTTTTTTTTTTTAAGTAGGCTCCACAACCAGCGTGGAGTCCAATGCGGGGCTTAAACTCAAGACCCTGAGATTAAAAGTCAGACTCTTAACCGACTGAGCCATCCACGTGCCCCCACATGGAGCTTTTTAAATTTAAAGTAATTAAAGTGAAAAATTCAGTTCCTGGTTGTACTGGCTGCATTTGAAGTGTTCAGTAGGCTCTGATACCCAATGGCTAGTGGGCAGCTTTGATAATAGAACATTTCCATGAATGCGGAAAGTTATATTGGAACCATTAGTTATTGCTTCCAGTAAGTGTTCTTTGTAGCCCTTCCTTAATTTCCAGATTCCAAAAATAGAATGCAAACTTCGAGTTAATGTTTAAGATAACACAGAAGGCTTCAAAGGAATCTTTTACTTATCTGGTGCCCTGGATATATGCACTTAACTTCTGTTGTTAAAGATCAGTTAGTAGAAAATTTAAAAAAAATCTCATCTTCATAGGATACAGTAAAATTTTAAGAACCAGTTCTGCTTTCTGATTGGTTTTATCTTTGGTATCCTAGAAGTAAATCCTGGTTTTTAGTACGCTGGAGGACCTCATTACATTGGCATTTTTTATTTATATAAAATGTGATCATTTCCATTTGCAGTGAATGTCAGACTCCTCTGAGCTAGAACGTCTTTAAAAAAGTCAAATAAAAATTATGAATTTAGTGGATTCTTTTCGAATTTGTTGAATTGGTTTATGCAGGTTGTATAAAAAGGTATTCTAAGACTTTTCACAGATTTATTATGTGTCTATAATATGCATACTGTGGTAGTCAGTCTGGGTAAGAAACATACCAAGAAAAAGACCCAACGTCTGGAAGTGGAGAATTGGGGTAGCTCATACAGTTGTAAAGTCTCGTGGCTGCCTCTACAGTGCAACCGAGAAAGTGAAATTGTTGCCGTTTGTGTGCGAATGCATCAGGACAGAACACTAGATGTCAGTATTGTAGTTCTGACATTTTACCAGGGACTGGTGAAACCTTCTGTTTTTGATCAGCCAGGTATTCTTCATTCACACAAACATTTAAGCTGTTATGCCTCTTTACATTTAGAAAAATTCTTACTACAAGAAGCACTTGTCAAATAATTGTTTATTTTGTTATTAATACGTGTGCAATGCTGCTGACTCTGAGAAATAAGATGTATAATATTAACATCTTTATTTTTCAGATAATTACATTCTCCAAACTTTGCTTCTCAGTGTATTTTCCAGAAACCTTGGTCTGAGGAGGTGCTTCTGAGGGAAAAATTGTGTGACTCTGAAATCTGGTATATAGTAGACACTCAGATTCATTGAATTGAATGATAGTGCTAACAGCTTTTGTTTGGCAAAATCTGGATTTTTTTTTTAAGATTTTATTTATTTATTTGACAGAGACAGAGAGAGAGAGGGAACACAAACAGGGTGAGTGGGAGAGGGAGAGGCAGACTTCCCGTGGAGCAGGGAGCCTGATGTGGGACCCTGGGATTATGACCTGAGCCGAAGGCAGACACTTAAGGACTGAGCCCCACCCAGGCACCCCAAAATCTAGATACTTTTAAAAAATACTTTGTAAATAATAAAGTTCTTAAATCACCTATATTTGCATGTCAAAGCCTAGAATCATGTGTCCTCAGATTTCTTAAATTTACCCAGCATGCAGGATATAGAGAAGGCTTCAAATTAAATATGTGGCAAATGAGTTTCTGTTTAAAACTTTTTTCTCTTTACTGAGAAATGTGCAGCACATTAGAGCAGTGGAATTATTAGCAATTTCCTTTACTTTTTGATAACACTGACACACTTTTATCACACTTTGAAGATACTTTATTTTTACTTATTTGCTTGAGGTTCATTTTTTCTATATCTATAAAATGTTTTATATGTTTTTATTTGCTGTTTTCTAAGGTTATAAATTTTTATCTTAAATGTATTAAATATTAAGTTTTACATATTTTTCATTTCATGAATTTCCAACACTTAAAGGTATCGTGCAAAAGTAATAGCGAAATTGCAGGTATTATAATGATTAGCTAAGTCAGATCTTTCTGGCAGTTCTCTCTTACTTCATGATTTACAGTTGAGAGACTAGAGAGGATCACTCAGACATTAACAGCCGACTGTACATTCAGCTCCTTTCATTTTGGTCATGGCAGTAAGCTGAATTAAGGGGAAAAAAAGGCTGAAATGTTATTTGAAAGCAGAATATGTACATTTCATTGAAATTATTTAAAGAAGAAAGGGGGCCTTAGAGCTGACGAGCAGGTACATTATTCTGAAGTAACAACAAAAAACCGTCAGACTTCTTAGAAGTAGAAGCAGAGGTTGTGGTTATAATGCTTAGCTTTGGTATGCGCAGCTGGACCCAACATAGGCTCCCTGAAGGGCAGTGCTTTGTTAGCTCCTCTGTTGCTCATTAAGAAACATTCCAAGTTACTAAGCTCTTGGGCGATTTTCTCCTTTGAAGTAGTTCCTAATAAGTTCCATCAGCTTCTGAAGAACAAAACAGAAGCTGTCCAAAAGGCTCTGGACCATATAGATGTATGCGAACTGTGCTGGCTGCTTGTGGTCTTGTTGGTAAAGTACAGTGAACTTCAGAAGTTGAGAAAAGCCACAAAACTTAAACTACAAAAGCTTCTCAACGAGTTGATTTTCAAGCAAGGCCACTGACTGGACTCTTATTTCTGCCAAGCCGCTGACCCCAGCTATTTGAACCTCATAAGATGAACTAGCTGGCAAATAACCTGTATATGCTTTTTTTCGGAGGTTGTGCAGGATGCAATTCCAACAGTACACTTTTGTATCTGCAACTCAGAGCTTGATAGTGTCATTTGGTCACCCAGCTGTGCAATTGAATCTTTAGTATCTTGGGCAGATATTACCTGATTATTTTTCAAGAATGGTCAATACCTAATTTTATAATGTTATATACAAATTCTATAAAAGGAGGCTGGGTTTTTTGTTTGTTTTGTTTTTTAGACTTTTCTGTACACAAATTCAGAGTTTTAAATATCTGGGTCAAATCCCTAGAGAGGTTATTCTGACTTCTCTGTACCATGGAAACGTTTTCTTGATGGATTAAAGTTTTTTGTTAATCGTTTTAAAAATAATTTTCATTAGTCTCTTATTAAGTAGTTTAATGGCACAAGTAAGGCCCATGGACTTGAACACACCCTACACTGCTCCCATGTTGGCATCTGCTGCCCCCTTGACAATAGGAGGTTGTGTGGGCTGTTGGATTTGTTTCTGCTGCTTGGGTCCTGGGTGCTGAAGCCCAGCATGGCTGGGCCAGGTCTCTGGGGGCTGATGGCAGTAGAATGGAGGGCCGTCTTGCTCTCTGCTATTACTGTAGCTGTGGAATTCACAAAGTTCCCCTCTTGTGAAAATGAAGACAGATGGAGAACTGTTAGCTTTTTGACGGGTCCTGGGGGTCTGGCATGGCCTTGACAGCCTCTTCCTCCAGTGTTAAAGTTTAATTTGTTTCTACTCTTAGGTTCTGTAAGAAGCTGTGGATCAGAAAAGGATGACTTTTCTTCAGATGATGAAGCAGTGGAAGCTGACAATGAAGATGAAGTTGAACCGTGTGGCAATGGAAATGAACATGCAGCTGAAGCTAGTGTTGGAACTAACGTGGGCTGGGCGGATGCCATGGCTAAAATTCTTAACAAAAAAACTCCTAAAAGTAAACCCACTATTCTGGTCAAAAACAGAGAGCTGGAAAAGGAAAAAGAAAAGTTAAAGCAAGAGAGACTAGAGAAGAGAAAACAGGTGTGTCTTACCAGTTGTTTTGTAGATTAGATTGTTTGCCTAGTCTAGTCAAGTTCCTATCTGTACCAAATTGTTCCTGGCAATGTTTGTCCAATTATCATTCCAGTTTTTAACTTGCTTTTTTACGTAGGGGTGAATAACCAAGCTTTTGTACAGAGGCCTAGTCTAAATTACTTCATTGAGCATGTTCACTTTTTAATCATCTAAGCAAAGAAATAGAAATTAAACTACTGAAAAATTTAGCCTTTTAAAATCAAGTAAATTATACATGTGGCCGTGACTCCTGGGTCTAAATATTCAATTTAGCTGTCCATATGCTAACATTATTAGATTCTGAACCAATAGAATCATGTTAGTTACTTTTTACTAACAACCTATTTTGTAATACAAATCTGTGAAGATGTCAGGGATTGGTTGCAGTTCTGAAAATGGACTGTTTCACTGCTGGATAAAGTCGAATTCATTATACCTTTTAAATCATGGGTAGAAGTTAGACTAGGACAGTCTGCGGCTTCAAGGCCAAAAGTTGGACTTCAGTTTGCTGTTGTGTTTCATAAGAATAAAGAAACAGTAATAAGGTTTTTAAATCCCTTATACTTGATGAAGCATTTCTGTCTAAAAAAAATAAATAAATAAAAATAAAATAAAATACTTGGTTAGTGAAATAAATACCATTTTTTAATGAAAGAAAAATAACTTTCTATGATCATACTGACAATATAAAAGTACTGATTTCCAAGAGGTACTTTCTAGGTAAAATGAAAGGAAAATAGATTTAGATTGACATATATTTCCTTTTAAGGAATATATTTCCTTTTTATATATGAGGCATATATTTCCTTTTAATTTCATCATCCCCTTATCTTGTTTCAAGGTGAATTATTTTCTTTGTTCCAAATACTAGTACTCTGTGCAAAAGGCTGTATGAAGATGGAACTTTTTAAGTGTTGCTTTTAGAAACAGAACATACTGTACTACTCAGTTATTCTCATTTTACTTTAAGATAAATCTTACTGATAGCTTTTCAACTGAAAATTTGAATCTTCATCATCTGGCAAAAGCTGACAGAAGCTTTAAAAATATCAGAATCCTTAATTACTTCTAGTCCCAGTGTTCTAGTCAAAGTAAGAACACTTTGAAGCCAAGAAAAATGAGTCTGTAACTCTAGGGCAGTCCTTTGAGTGCTGGGGATGATACTGTTCACATAATGCATGAAAACACACATGTTGATACCAGAAACAGGACACAGTCACTACAAATGCTATTATATATTCCTGAGTAGAGTCTGTGTAAATTATCATTGTTTTTTTACTGTTAAATATTATCAGTTTCCAGAATATCAAGTACTTATTTCTGATCATAAGTATAAAAATATACTTCAAAGTTAAAAATTATTTTGGGATTGTGCATGCCTTGGGTACTACAGATAATGAAGAATCAACTGTTTTAAACTTAAAAGTAAGATTTCTAAATTTCTGGCATAATCTGATAGTGAATTTCATCACTATCACTAATTTACAAAGTAAATTATCTGATTTGGGGAGGAGTCTATTCTTTTTAGAAAGGAATCAGGCTAATCTTTATAGTGAGCAGGAATTTGATTTTACTGTGATTAAACATTTTCATTAATACAAAAATAAGAGATTAGATGGATGCAGAAAAGGAATAGATAAAAGGTGATTTTTTTTTCCCCCACTGATTCTTATTACTGCCTTTGATGCTCACTAGCTTCCTGGCGATCAGTTCATCATATTCAGTATATTTGATCTTAGGTGATATTTTGGCCTGAGACGGCAGTATATACTGATGCGGTGTATTGGTGTGTCAAGTCAGGTGCCTAGGACCAGAGTACTACTGGATACAATGCTATGATTTTAAAAGCGGATACAAATTTTTAATATTCTGACTGCTGAGAAAGACAGTTTCTGAAAAATAAACAGTTTAAACTTGTGGTTATTAAAGACAGTAGTTTGGGATCTTCCTGATGCTTACCTCTGATCTGGTGGTGGCAGGCCAGCATGTGGCTCTCTCACACCTTACCTTGTCCTGCTTGCCTCAGTATCCTGGCAGCCCTCCAGGCCCCTGCTGTCAGAGAGCCTGACGGAAACTCACTTTGTGCTTCTCACATGACATGCTGAGTGCTAACCACAGGCCTCCTGAGCTGAACCCCTAAAAGTGTGGGGTTTTTTCAGTCCCTGTGACAAACTAAGCCAGAATGATTTATTACCTTTGTCCTTTCACAGAGTATCATATCAAAGTATGCTGCACTTTCAAAAATGCCTAATATTCTTTCACATAACAATATTTATAACACAGCTTGATAAGAAGCGGGAATGGGAAATGATGTGCAGAGTAAAGCCAGATGTTGTCAAAGACAAAGAAACAGAGAGAAATCTTCAGAGAATTGCAACAAGGTAAGATTGTTTTTGCCCTTTAAAAAATAAGTATATTAAAGCTTTGATAGTGATCCATTTCTGACTTGACCTGATTCTTAAACTCTGCCTTCCCAGAGCCAAGTGATTTAGATCAAAACCTGCCTATTTAATCCTGAATTCAACCAAAGATTTTACAGATCTCAGGAGGCAAGAATATAACGTCCTCAGTGTATATTTGGTTTGAACCTATTGCAAACCATATTGTTTCTGTAGTCAGGAAAACAGTGTAATTAGACATGCATTTCTCTTATCATGGTTGTCTGAGTTTATGGCAATAGATTATTTTTGTTATCTTACATTGTACTTAGGACATAACCAGTTTTGCATTACAGTAGCTTTATGCTGTCCTTTCACTCTGCATTTTTTTTTTTTAAAGATTTTATTTATTTATTTGACAGAGAAAGACACAGCGAGAGAGGGAACACAAACGGGGAGTGGGAGAGGGAGAAGCAGACTCCCTGCCGAGCAGGGAGCCCAATGCGGGACTCGATCCCGGGACTCCAGGATCATGACCTGAGCCGAAGGCAGTCGCTTAACCAACTGAGCCACCCAGGCGCCCTGCATTTTTTTTTTTTTTTATCATTGGCACCAAATGTTTATTTGATGCCCTCTGTGTCCAAAGATAAATAGAATCTGGTGGCTGCCAGGTGGTCCTTGCCTACTCACCGGTAGGAATTACAGTCTCTTTGAGATTAGAGGTACGTCCTGTGTGTTGGGAACTTAAAGCAGGAGATTGTCAGGGGAGTTGGGGAAGATTTCACAGAGGAGAGAACATTTATGCTGCTACTTCAAGAATATAGCAGTTCTGCTTAGTGGAATTATTTTTTATTTTCTAGTTACATACATTATTTGGGTCATTTTTTAATCCATATGGGTGTTCTATAGTGAGATACATAGAGCCAGACTGCTAGGTTCAAATCTCAGCACTGACTTATTACGTGTGTGTCCTTGGGCATGCTACCTAATTTTTCCGTTTCAGTTTATTTACATATAAAAACAGCAGAATATTATATCTACCCTGCAGGATTTCTCTGAGAATTAAATAAATTAAAAACATATAAAGAATTTAGAAAAGTACATGGTTGGTGCATGAGAGTAAGTGCCTCCTTAAATTTTATACCTGAGGCACCTCCCTTTCGTCACTTTGGTCCCAGCCCTGCTCTGAAGGGTATGGAATTTTACCCTCCGTATAAGCTAATAAGCTAGTCTGTTAGTTTCCTGGATACTGCCAGAAGACAAGAGACTTTTGGGTCAGAGACAAAGGACTTTATTACTCTTGGCAAAGCAGTAGCCATAGCGTCACATTTCCACTGGTTCCCTTTATCCCTCAGTGGTAACACAGGTGCCCCGTATGGATGCTTGAGCATGCAGTGGGTTGTGTTACAGAAGAACACTCTACTTGGGAATCTATTGCTTTTTTGGTGAATGGTAGCAAGCCTGCTCTTTGCCTGGGGGCAGACGTTACCTCATCTCTCAAGGTTGCATCCTACAAACTCAGCTCTCAGAAATGACCTGTGTAAAGAACAGTCAGGGCCTTGCATCCTTGAAAAACCTAGCAAGAACGTGCAGGGATACTCAGGGTCCATGGCAGAGTGCCTCTCCCAGTGATAGAATTTTAGAGCTGGGAAGGATGGTAATGGTTTATATCAGTATTGTCCAGTAGAAATATAATGGGAGCTACATATATAATGTAAAACTTTTTTGTAGCCACATTGAATACAGTCAAAAAAAAAAAAGATAAAATTAATTGTACTAATATGTTTTATTGAGCCTAAAATATTCAAATTATTTTTTATTTTATCATATAATCAGTATAAAACAATTACCAATGAGATTTTAAAATTCTCTTTTTTCATATTAAATCTTCAATGTATTCAGTCTGTATTTTAAATGTGGAGCATATTGCAGTTTGGACTAGCCAGCCACATTTCATGGCTCACTAGCTACATGTGGCTCATGGCAACTGTGATGTACACTGCAGGTCTTAATCTTCAGAATTCTTCTTGGAACGAACTTAACTATAGACCAAAATATTTAAATAAGTATTTCATTTTAAAATAGGATTTTAAAATTCATTTTATATTGGGGCGCCTGGGTGGCTCAGTCAGTTAGGTGTCTGCCTTTGGCTTGGATCATGACCCCAGGGTCCTGGGATTGAGAGCCCCATATCGGGCTGCCCCCTCGGTGGGGAGCCTGCTTCGCCCTCTGCCTGCTGCTCCCCCGGCTTGTGCTTGCGCACGCTCTCTCTGTCAAATAAAGAAATAATTTTTTTAAAGATTTTATTTATTTATTTGAGAGAGAGAATGAGATAGAGAGAGAGAGCATGAGACAGGGGAGGGTCAGAGGGAGAAGCAGACTCCCTGCCGAGCAGGGAGCCCGATGCGGGACTCGATCCTGGGACTCCAGGATCATGACCTGAGCCGAAGGCAGTCGCTTAACCAACTGAGCCACCCAGGCGCCCAAGAAATAATTTTTTTTTAAGTTAGTTTTATATCATAGGAGTTGCAGATAATATAACAATATTTTTTAAGCTACTTGAGTATTATTTCCATTTATAGATGAAACTGAAATCTAGAAAACCTTTCCTAGGGTCAAATGGTTAGACAGCTAACTGTAGAGGCTGTTCTCTTTCCATTGCATTGTGATGTCTTCAATTACTGCGGGAAGCCTGCTGCTCCCTCTCCCACTCCCCCTGCTTGTGTTCCCTTTCTTGCTGTGTTTCTCTCTGTCAAATAAATAAAATCTTAAAAAAAAAAAAGGTACTTTTTAGTTCTAATTGCACAAAAGTTGATTTAGAAAGATGAAAACTGAAAAGAAAAATCACATTATCAGTCCACATATATTTATTTTCTAGTCAGAAATTTGTATTCATTCATTGAAATGTATATTCATTTTTTCGATTCAACTCTTTTCATTTGAGTGCCTATTAAATGCTTGCCTCTTTCCTAAGCAGTAAAACTACATTGTTCTTATCCTCACAGTTTGTATCCTAGTGTAACTGTTACTTAACTGTGTTATTCTGGTCATTTTATATTCTATAGAGGTGTGGTACAGTTATTTAATGCTGTTCAGAAGCACCAAAAGAACGTTGATGAAAAGGTTAAAGAAGCTGGAAGCTCTATCAGAAAACGTGCTAAGTTGATATCGACTGTTTCCAAGAAAGATTTCATCAGTGTTCTGAGAGGGGTGGATGCAAGTACAAGTGAGAAAAGTTCGACTGGAAAGAACTTGAAAGCCAAACAGGTGAGACTTTTATATAGGATTCAGTGCATCAGACTTTTAGTTCTTAAAATAAAGTTTTGGGGTGAAAAAGCACACTATAAATTTAAAAATTTGTATTCTTAAGTTTCATGATGATTTATTCAGTATGGAAGTTGCTAGTTATAGGTGACATACATACCCCTGCTGTTAGAACTCAGGAACCAATGGATTCGGGTAAATCTTTTAGAGATACTAGGTCTCTCCCATCTGAAATCCTGCCTTTTGTGCATTTTGGAAACTAGAAACCTAAGTGAGGGAGACAGCTTCAGTTTGCGACTTTGACCCACAGAGGTAATTGTGATGGCATATAACTTCTAAAATGTGAAGCATCAGAGCTTTGGGGAACATAATGGAAGGTCATTCTTGCATGAGCTTGCTTGGTGATGTTTGACTAGTTGGAAGATGAAGAGTATAAATACTCTTCATGATCTTTGGCATGATCACTTTGCTTCTGCAGTCCTTTTGACCTGTGGACTCCAGTAGTTGCCTTTCTAAAGGTACCAGGTAAAAGGTTTTGAAATGTGCTTTATTCTCAAAAGGGCTGTTTGGTTTTGTTTTTTAATTAAAGTACAGTACTCGTGTGTTTGATGGCTTAATTTCTATTGCCAACAAAAAGTACTTCAATCAGGAGTCTCTGTTGTAAGTTTTTTGTTTGTCTTTTGGTTTGCCAGTTGAAACTCTGGCAAGAAGAGCATTTAGGAATTTCATGCTAACCTAGAGCTGAAGTATTTTTCGAGTTCTTTGATCGAGTTGCCATTTTACCTAAATTTGACAAAAGGTTTCTAAGCTACTTTGTCTATCTCTTGCATATTAAAGGACCCAAATTGTTATGTATTTATTTATTTATTTATTCAAAGATTTTATTTATTTATTTGAGAGAGAGAGATGGCGACAGAGAGAGCACGAGCAGGGAAGAGAGGGAAATGCGGGCTCCCCACCCGAAGGGAGCCCAATGGGGGGCTCGATCCCAGGACCCTGGGATCATGACCTGAGCCAAAGGCAGATGCTTAACTGACTGAGCCACCCAGTGCCCCCTCAAATTATTTTTTAATTATCTACATAATACTGCTGCTCACTGGTGCAGCTATTTTAAAGTGTTAGAATTAATTATGAATACACATGAATACTATGTTTGGGGGTCATTACTTTTTATTTAAAAAATCTAACCTGCTGTGTTCTCATGAGGGACATTTTACTCTAAAAATTGGAGAAAGATCTAGCAGCATTAAATGAGAGAGTTAGGGGGCGCCTGGGTGGCTCAGTCGTTAGGCGTCTGCCTTCGGCTCAGGTCATGATCCCAGGGTCCTGGGATCGAGCCCCGCATCGGGCTCTCTGCTCAGCGGGGAGCCTGCTTCTCCCTCTCCTACTCTGCCTGCTTGTGTTCCTTCTCTCACTGTCTCTCTCTGTAAAAAAAAAAATAAATAAAAATAAATGAGAGAGTTAGTAGGAAGATGGAAAAAGCAAGACTTATTTTTTTCTTTTTTCTATTCATTTCAGAATGACTTTAATAGAAGCATTTGTTTTTGCTTTGGTATTATTTTTTTCATGAGTTATGAAAATATATGAAGGGTTCTTTCCAGTACCATTGTTGCCTTTTTTTCTTACCATTTGCACTTTTGCCCTTGACTTTCTTTTTTTCTACTTCACTGTCAAACCGAAGTGGCTTTGCTCTAAAAGTAATTTATTTCTAGAACTTCTTACCCCATACTTAACAACATTTTGCTACATTTCTTTTAAAAACGTTGCTTTCACTTTGATTTCATATTTATAGAAAAACCACCAGACTCTTTTTTTATTGGACTTGATTTCACATCTGAATAATATAAAAGTACTATAATATTTGTAATTGGGTCAGTTATTAATGTCAGAAATATCTGCCTAGTTGTACCTGGTGCTATCCTTGTATCTTTTAAAAGAGTCTTGCAATTCAGATAGAGAGATGACTTCAATTAAATAAGTAAGATTAAAAAATTCTAAATTAGTATGTCTAGACTGCACGTTATCATCAGTTACATTAGGTACAATAAGAGATAGATTAAGTGGCTGCCCTATTTGTGGGGGGATTGTGATGTGACTGTCATATTCGTTTAGGACATAGATCAGTAAACCGGTGTAAGTTACTGGGACTAGGTAGACTTTTAAAGCAGTTGAAGAGAAGGAGGGAAGGGAAAGTTGGGAGTAGTATGCCAAAACGTGATTCAGAAATGAGACATAGATTAATGAAATGGGGCGCCTGGGTGGCTCAGTTGGTTAAGTGACTGCCTTCGGCTCAGGTCATGATCCTGGAGTCCCGGGATCCAGTCCCGCATCGGGCTCCCTGCTCGGCAGGGAGTCTGCTTCTCCCTCTGACCCTCCCCCCTCTTATGTGCTCTCTCTCATTCTCTCTCTCTCAAATAAATAAATAAAATCTTTAAAAAAAAAGATTAATGAAATGGATAGAGAAGGATAGTAATTAAGTACAAAAATAAAATTTTCTCTTTTTCTCATATTTTACCTTTTCCTAGCACCATTGCACACCTTTTCCATGCTCCTTCCCTCTCAGACAATCAGAGAGAAGAGCTTTAGGGAAATTCTTGTCCCTTTCCTGGGCATAAAGGGTCAGAACACAGCCTTTTTATCCTGTATTCCTAATATTATGAAATCTTTACAATTAGAGTCCATCCACATACGAACTGGATCCACTGGCAGCTGTCTATCAGGATTCCAATCTGGAGATACCTTCATTATGTCTTCAGCTCCTTTACCCCGTTGCACCTGTTATTTGTAGTTGTGACATTAATGTCTTATGTTCAAAAACAAAAAAGAACCGTTAGTTTTATATTAAGAAAGCTGGATAAAATTGTAGTAATATAAACTAGAGGTTGGATCCATTATATGAACATACATTAGGGGTGCTTTTGGTTGTGTCTGGTTTTTGTTTTTGTTTTTTTATTCCTTAGGAACACTCAGAACTTGGAAATTTATTTTTAAGAGCCCGTTTTCAAGAATTTCTATACTCCTGCAAGATATAAGAAGTTTTAAGGCATTGTGACAGATATTTCTTAACTATGTCATAATCCTGAACAAGATACTTTTCTGAGAACCTTTTCTTTTCTTTTTTTTGGCTTTAAATGCATTTTATTTTCAAAGCAATAGGAGCATGGTTTCACAAGGGAACTTGTGACTAAAAAAAATTGCCAGTACTCTTCCCCATCCCTCTCTGCCCCTTGCTATGCTCCCTTCCAAGATAACCATTTTCAGTTCTTAGATCTTTGTTGTGGTATTTACCTCTGTATCTTAAATAATATTTAGACTATTTTTTAAATCAATATTAGATACCTTTTATGGAAGACAAAGAATTGTCATTCTTTCCTTTGCTGCCATACCTCCCATACTGTGTCCTTCCAATGTAAGCATATTAATGCTTTTAGCTAAATCAGTATTCAGTGTAAACATCATTTACTCCTGAACAAAGTAATGTAAGATAATACTTCTTTATTCTTCAACTTAGCTTCCTTACAGTTTTTGTTTTCCTGGAGGTAACAGTTGCCTCTTTTTTAAACCCTTCTCAGTACTGTTTTCTCCGCGGTCATCGTGCTACAATCTAGACTGGTGGTTCTTTACCCTGGTATGCACTTAGACTTTGCTTTATCACTGTCCTGGGAATTCCCTTTGCTTCTTCACTTTGCAGTAGCCTCTGTTTCTTGGACTGTCTTATTATCTCTTGGCTTTCACTCTCATTTTGATAAGGTCACATTTACCAGTTGCTCTCTGGAAAAGGGTATAGGATATCTTCATTTTTAGTTGATGTGTTGGCTGAATTACATGTAGTAGATGGAACAGTGGCCCCTAAAATCCTGAGTTTGTGTTCTAATTCCTAGAACCTATAAAAAGTACCTTAGTTAGAGAAGGGGTCTTTGCAGATATAATTAACTTAAGGATTTTGAGGTGAAGAGATTATCCCGGATTATCTGGGTGGGTTCTAAATCCAGTGTTCAGTATCCTCACAAGAGACGCACAGGGGAGATTCGACAGAAGTGGAAAGGCAAAGTAGCCACAGAGGCAGAGGTTGGGGTGATATGGCCACAAGTCAGTGTTCAGTATGTAGGCTTACTCAATACAGTCTCTATGTATTAATCAGCGTTCCTGAGTTCAAGACTTTTCTGGTTTAATGTCTTCAGAGACTAAACTAGTGTCCATGGTAATGTCTGTCACCTGACTCCATAAGCCAGAAAGGGAAATTAAAAGTCTACGTGCTTCTTACACAGACTGTCAGCCAATCTGTATTTTTATCCCACCCCTCACGTCCACCTCCCCCCTTGCCTCCAGTTCCTGAGCATGGACCCAGTTTCTCACGTAAACATTAGCTTTCCTTCTCTCCAATTGGTTTTCACTGCTCTATCCAGTGTTCATTTATCTCCCCAAACTTGTTGGCATATTGTATCTGTAGTTATTTTCCCATCTGATTTTTTCCTTGTTTGTTTTTAACTTTTTTTTTTTTTTTTAAGATTTTATTTATTCATTTGCGAGAGAGACAGAGAGAGGACAAGCAGGGGGAGAGGCAGAGGGAGAGGGAGAAGCAGACTCCTGGCTGAGCAAGGAGCCCGATGCGGACTCGATCCCAGGACCCTGGGATCATGACCTGAGCCGAAGGCAGACGCTTAACCACCTGAGCCACCCAGGCGCCCTTGTTTTTAACTTTTGATACTTTTAATTTCAGTGAGCTTTCCATAAGAATTAGAGATAAATGCATGTCTGCTGTTTAATTGGAAGACTTCCTTTTTATTTTAAAAGCAATAAGGTTAATCTTATTGTAACTTCTTATTGCTTTGATGGAATTATTGGGAGTCTTTAATTATAAGGTATTTCACAAACAGTCAATCTTTAAGTATTTGAAAGTGGACATTTTTAATGTTTTGAAGTGGATTATTTAAAAAAATACTTGTTTATAAACATTTTTCTAAAATATAAAGAGGAATATGTCCACTGAAAGCAGATATACG